AAGTCACCTTCTCCTTTCTTTGTCAGCAGCTGATTTGGCGTTGCGTTTCTACCCTTCACAAAACCCTAATCACATCCAAGTCCAAACGCACAACCCAATCGTCGGCGACTCAACCCAATCGTCGTTCACTCAACCCAATCGCTGCTTCACCACCGAACATCATCCACCTCCGAACCAGTCGCCGCAATTTGTGGGAAAACTTCTAACACCACTAGAAAGAAAGGAAGAAAAGATGGCGGTGATGCAAGGAGCGGCGGCAATGAATCGACGAGTCACGGACTATAACCGGCGAGACTAGGCACTTGCCGAACTGTTGTCGCTTTTGATGCCGACGATCGCCGTTGTGACTGGTCACGCCGCTTGTCGGACCTATTCATAAAACGCACCGGAAATGGGTTTTTGTTTGGTCACCAATTGGGTCTGTAAGATTGCAACCACAACACACTGCAGCGAGCTCCGTTCTTCGGTGAGTTATAGAACGAGTTCAACTGTTGGTGAGATCTTGAAGATGATGAAGAAGATTCGCAGAGGCCGGCAGTTTTGATGAACTTGGAAGATGCCGGTGAGAAAATGGTGGTTCGATTGTGGCTCGGCGAGAAATGGCGGCAGAGATGTGATATGCCAGCGAGGATCAACGGTAGAGCAAGGACGGCAGCGATTTGCTGTGAAGTGGCGGCTCGATTGTGGCTCGGCGAGAAGTGGTAGAGGCATGATTTGCAGAGGCGTACCCATGATTTTCATTCAATCCACGACCTGCTGTATCTCGCTGTGCCATCTAGTTCCACACCATCATCAAGAAGTTGTTTTTTTCTGCCTTACCGTCGCCGAACCAGTCATGCGCTGTCGCCGGCGACCTGTTCTTCTCTTTGGTTCAGGCTGCACCTACGTCGGTGTTCTCTCCGTTTCTTCCGTCCTTGTCCACCGGCACCGTTATTTTGTTCCACGCCCACTACATCTTGCTCTCTGTTTGGGGAAAGAGAAATAAATATGTTCATGCACTGATAAGGGGTTACGGCCTCACCGAGCAGCATCCAATCCGCATCGCCCTTCTTTCAGCTCGTTATTCCGTCTCTCGCCGTGGGCGCTGCGCGGGCGGATTGGGAACAAGCTTGGCCGAATGGCCAAAGCTTTCACCGTCCTCACAAAGGTTAATCAATTGATCTAGGGCAGGCACTGACTTGATGATGGGGGCATTTTTGGAAGAGTAGAGGGTAAAATAGGCATTAGATTAATTGAGGGTTGTTTTTGCACAAATTGAAAAGAATATGGGTGTTTTTTGCACACCTTTTTAAATAGATGGTAAAAGTGCTATGAAAGGTATACTTCAGGGGTGTTTTTTGCACTTTCCCCAAATTAAAAACTTATTTGTTATTATCTTGTTTTTTCTCTCTTTCCCCAAATTTGAGCAAATACAAAATTACAAAGGAAATAGGGATGAAACATCCCTTTCTGCTTTCTCTCTCTTTTCTCTTCCCTTCGACCAAATAAAAAAAACTTCTTTTATACCCCCCTCAATTCATCCCAACAATTAAGAAGAACTTTGAACACTTTAACAACATTTACACAACACCCCATTATGTAAATATAATCCTTTTTAGACGACTCTCTATGTTCATAAATATTACTTATAAGTTTCAACAACTCTTCTTTTTATGTCTCACAAATTAAAGTAGAATTTTGAAGTCGTCAACCTTCAGTCACGTATTTAACTTTACTATTTGCATATTTAATTGTAACACAAATTTTAACAAAATGATAATTTGGCTGAATTTCGAACTTCAAAATTCAGAATGCAAAATACATGGTGATTTGGGCGGAGAGAACTTTCACTAGTTCAATTAATCGCACTTGAGGCAACCTAACATGACATGCGTGACACGACACGGTAGATTCAGCCCACACTATGGAGGCAGGACAAATGTGGTCAACGTGGCAGATGCAGAATGAGTGCACGTGGCACACAATGGACAAAATAGCTGTCAATAAGGTGGTTATATTGGTTGGACCGTAGGACTACATTATCTGTAAGAGTATTATTTTACTGACTAAACTCCTCTGCGGCACCGTTTCGATTAATTTCATTATAATATTCCTCATTATTTTTATTACCTGTCACCCAATATTAATACTATTATGTTCTTCCTCTCTCCCCTCACATGGGATGGTACATGTGGCCCCCCACTCCCTCTTTCTCTTTCTCTTTGTCTTTCTCTCTCATCATATCAATTTCCCTACATATCCTCTCTATTTTGTTCTTTTATGTTTTGTTACATGACTTGCATTGCAAACTAATTACTAATATGATTGTGCACCTAAACTAAAAATCCATCACAAAAGTTTATGATTGGGTTAAACTTTATAATACATTGTGCATAATAATTAACATGTGATGAAGTATTATATAGAATTATATATTGAATTGTAGAGAGTTCTCGTTTTTATTAAATTATATTTGAATAGATTGTTCAATGCTTATTATTTTGATATTTTTGAATTTAAATTTTAGCGTGTGTGCTCAGTAAAACCTTTAGCATTTTGTTTTTAACATACTTGTTAACCATATTTTATAAAATGACAATTTTGCCCTTCCCTTGTGTTAAAGATAAGAAGGTAAATTAGACTGACCTCTTTCGAAATTTAAGCAAATTATATACCAGTCACATAAATTTTCAGATTAATAAATATCTATAGTATAATATATTATTACTACGTAGATATAAAAGCATTATTGATTTTTCATACGTAAAGTCACCATCCACCAGCCAGCAAACAAGTTTAGGAGAAGTCAAAATAATGAATGGTCATTTTGTGTGCAATTTATCCAAACCTTTGAAAATGTCGGTGTAATTTGAAAAATATAGCTTGCACGAGCGTACTCGTAATTTTATCATGTTAGCTCTGCTTTCTTTTCTTTTAATATTGAAAACCCATTTGCTTTAATAATAATAATAATAATAACCAACAGACCAATGGTCTAGCAGTATCAATCTCTTATTTCTCAAGAGAGGTCAGAGATTTAAATATCAGAAGAAACATGTGTGTATGAATAATTAAGAATAATAATAATAATAATAATAATAATAAAAGTGGGCCTTATTCAATATATGTATGCATCAGAAAATAAATGGAGTAGATGGTTTGTGTTAATCATATTCAATTTGAACCATGAAAGAATTTTTTTGGGTAGATTCCAAATGACTCAAAATTCGCAATGGAAAGTGAGACTTGTTCCATTTAATCCATAGAGGAATTAATCAATTTTGAGGGAATATTTTGTTTTGTCGGAAGAGAGAGCCTACATTTGTGGATGTCTAAAATGAAGTATTATCTAGATTTGTGGTTATTCTTTTCTATTTATGCTATTAATTAATTGATTTTCTTTACTATTCTTTGAGTGGCTAGAATTGTGGTGGTGCAGGAAACACAAGCGTTGTCAAATATTGTAGGATCTTTATTACGGTACAAGTTTAATACGGAATATTAATGAAGAACATGCCTTCCAATAATTTAGTTGTTCGTTTCACTTATGACAACACTGTATTCCTTCTTCAATGTCTTCACATTTATGATTCAAGAAACAATCGACTAATTTTTTAATTTGTTTTAGAGAAAAATCTCAAACCACTCTTTAGTGAGTTAAGAAAAATAATATTTTTTATAAGTCACAAATTCATAAATCAAATAAAATAAGACTAAAATTGAGTCCATTAAATCCCTCGGGACTCAAAGTTATTATTTGAGTAATAACTTAATGCAAATTCACACAGGTAGAGGTATAATTTTTATTATTTGAGTAATAATTTGAGATTTGAACAAATTATATACTGATAGAACGTTTAATTTTTATTACTTTGACCTTCTTTGAGATGTGGCGTTTGTTCAACAACACCCCATGTCATTAATGAAAATTCAAAAATGATTAAGCTGACATTTCATTGTGTTAAAAGACCTCAATAGCCTTATATTTTGACATAAAATTAAAAAAAATATTATGAAAATGTCATTGAAATGCAAAGTATCAATTTTCATACCAATTTCATATTATTAAATTTAAAAAAAAAAAAACAAATTTTTATTTTTATTTTTTTGTTAATGACATTTGATTAGGTTTTATTTTTTATTTTTCCAAAAAAAAAAAAAGTAAAGTAATATAGTGTTTACAAGATGTGGAAATAAATAAAAGGGTAATACAGTCTTTTGGTTTGACATATTATTAATTTTTATTATAGTAATATGAAATTAGATAAGGGTATAAATGACATTTCACACTTTTAGAAAATGTTAAAGTAATAAAGGTTGAACACTGTAATTTGCCCACACCTCAGGAGAAATTAATGTAATTTACCTTTTTTATTTAGTAAAAAAGAAAACAACTTAATCATAATGACAACAATTTTTATGATGTATTCTTATTTATGATCTCATTTAGTGCATTTTAAATAAAAAAATGATATAGCATTCAGGATTCCGAAGATGCTGAATTTGGAATATGTAAATAGACTGTGGACTTACTATAAGGAGAAGGATAAATGGGTGCGTGAATTTTTTTGTCAATGAAAATATATATATATAATTAATTTTAAAATCTGAAAAAAAAAAATGAAATAATATTTGAAGCATATAGTCAAAAACTTGGTGGAAAATGTAATTTTGGGTTGAAAATGCAAATAGGAGTATATTTTCGTTATTGGATTAGAACTAATGGCACAGTTGCAAGTCTCATTCAAAAAGGATGGAATAGAAAAGCATGAAAAGGGATATGTACTCTGTAAAATAAAGGATTCAAGGTAAGAAGATTGTTGATCTATCAATTATTGTTTACCAGTAGGACTTATTTATCCATTGTTGTCAACATGTCATTGGATGGAAAAATCAGTAATACTTTTCTCTATTTTTTCCTTTCCTCAACGGATAGTAGAGAAAGATGGAAACGGGAACGGAAATGGAAATGGAAATAGAAATGGGACGTTATAAATTGGCGGACCCGAACACAAAACTTAGCTAGATTTTAGGGGCATTGAGGTCCGGGTGCTCCTCTCTCTCTATCTGCTGGCTCAAGTTCCAACAACAAGAAGAATTGTAATAAAAAGGATAGAGAGAGATAGAGAAAGAGGAGAGAGAAACAAAGAACTCAATTGTCTGTGGGAGGGAGAGAGTGAGTGAGCTCAGAGGCCAAAAATGGGAAGATCTACTGCGTCTTGCTTCAAGATCATTAGTTGCGGTAGTGATTCCGTCGACAAAGACGATCTCGCAGCATCTGAGGTATCTTCGCAGTAACGGTTTCTACAGTTATTTTTGGCTCAGATTCTATGAATTTTCTTACTTTTTCGGTTTCTCCATTTGATTGATCAGAAAATGCCGGAAAAGGAAGGAAATTGAGCATTTGAATCTTAGATTTGTTCTTCTTTTGGACTCGATAAAACAACAAGCTCCAATAATTAGATATTTATTTTTAAAATTTTGAATTTCGCCAGATAAGGGAATGAGGTTTACCTATATGTGATTTCTTAATGTGATAATGATGTTTATGATCATTTTTCTTTATTGTGACTTCTATTTGTTTTCTCTTTGTATTATGTTAGGTTATACATAGGTTAGAATTACACCAGAAGCTTTTGATCTGTTCCTTTTTTGTCAGATATTCCATACATCTCGTTAGATGGATATCATTTTTATTGAATACGATAACTTTTTAAAATGCTGCGGTGGTGAAATGGTAGACAAGCTATATTCAAAATCTTGTGCTTAGGAGAGTGTTGACTTTGCCATTTGTAATGCATGATGATTTTATCAGCTATGGGTTCGAATCTAAGAGTTTTTTTAGAGAATGTCTGCTACCCTGAAATTTTTTGAATTTTCGGAATGATAAGGAGAAAGAAAAAAAAAATGCCATTTTGGAGTTTTGTCAACAATTTGTTTGTGTAGGCGGGGTTCTGGTACAGTTGATAGAATGTAGAGTAAGGATCTTCACAGGATCCGTAGTTCTATTCTTATTTTAAAGTAGAAGAATCAACTTTGTTGAGATTCAGATGCATTAAGCATGTTCAATTTGGCTCGTATACGATCTTACGAAGTATCGGATATCTCTAATTCTTTAGTTGAGAGCATCCCAGCTTGTTATAAGTTCCCGCCAATTGCTAAGATATTAACACTTTGAAAGGCTCCTATCGTGCATCGGAAATGTTGTCGTTTTCTGTTATGGAGCCGACCTCATCAATTTTAAGAGAGGGATTACTATGTCCGCACTTGGCAAAAGACTCCGTAGGTAATTCATTATATGCCTTTAAAACAAGAGTAGTTTTAATCGTATCACATTGTAAAGAAAGCCTCATCTCCTTCCTACCTATCTCTTTTCTTTGTTACCCATATCTTCTTCTGGTTCATCATCCATTCCATTGTCGCAACCTTTCTCTCAACCTAATAATCATGGCAGGCTACTTTCTACTTGGGTCAAAATTGTTAAAACATTTCTCTTTTGGAATGTCGGGGGTCCTGAGAATGAATCTAATAATATTTCGTGGATTAGAAAAGGTATATGATCAGGGACTGGAATCCATTATTACGGAAAATTTTCTTTTTCTACTAAAATCTCCCAGCATATGCAAGAGTGAAAAAGTGCTTAGATAATACTCCCTCCGTCCCACAAAACATGTCCACCTTTCCATTTTTAGCTGTCCCAAAATAAATGTCCCAGTTAAAAAGTCAATGTACTTTTTTTTTGTAACATTACGAATTTAACCTTCTTGTATTGAATGTATAAAAAGTAAACCATCACATCATTGTGGACTCACTATGGGTAAATTGGTAATTCATTCACTACCAACACAATATAAAAACACTAAAAGTCATCACCTTAAAAAGTTAGATTCCTAGAAAGGGACATTTCTTGTAGGACGGAGGGAGTATATTGTAAAATTATTTACTTTTTGTCAATTGATGTTTCTTCTTCTATGCTCCCTAATGACCAAATTATTGGATCTCTTATACCAAGTGGTCTGATCCATGAGCTGCCGGGAGGTTGATTTATCTCAACTCAAGCAAATCTGATTTTTACCTCCAGTTAAAGTAGTTTCTAATGTGATTAACTATTAATTAATGTATTTGCAATTTCAAATGGAATGCATTAATGGGGATATAAGGGACAGTATCATCCCTGTATGAAAAGATGGCATTAAGATTGTAGCAAAAGAATGGGTGGACTATATAGTAAATGATTCACGCCAAGAGGAGAAGGCAGGGAGTTTCCTAAAGAAGTGTTAATTGACTAAAATTGTCCATCTTTTAAGAGGCTTTTTGGTCATGATCAATGGACATATTAGTCTGTTGGCGAACGGGATCATAGTATTCCTTTTTGAACGTGGAGTTAGCTTTTTCTAAACACACATACATGCACACAAATATATTCTGATTGGTTAATTAACAGTGTTAGTCAATGAACATCTTGTTCACTTCTTATGGGTGGCCAATTCTTTGCAGGCTTTGATTTATAATATAGACATGCTTTATTAACTTCGTCACATAATTTGAGTTGTAATTAATGTGAAATATAAATATAAATTTGACTTTTAGTGATAAAAATCAAATTCATTAGGTTGAACCTTCCAGTGGTGTGTGTTCATGGCTTCTCAACGAGAGATAGATAGATAAAGACCCGTCAAAGTCATTAAGGTGAACCTTCCAGTGGTGTGTGTTCATAGCTTCACAAAAAGCAAGAGATAGAGAGATAAAGACCCAAACAGCCAAACGTGTAGCAAGAGGAAGAGATGGAGAGAGACCTATATAAAAGAGAAAGACCTGATAAAAACCTAAATTTCTTAGTTGCAAGAAGAACATACCTGAACATACGAGAGAGAGAGAGGGAGGGAGGGAGGGATCGGCCTTAAAATTTCTTTTGAGATTCTGTTAAGACCAGGTTACCAGAACTTTGGCTGGCGACTAATTCCTTGATTGGAAATGGCTACATTGTCATATATGGGATAAGAGTGTACTGAAATGTTGACATCTTGGCTATTTATGGGAGCATATAATGACATGGCACACTCACACTAAAAGAAATGGAGATCTATGTTGAAAGATTGCGGAATAGCTAAAGCCATATTCCTTGATTGGAAATGGCTACATTGTCATATATGGGGTAAGGGTGTACTGAATTGTTGACATCTTGGCTATTTATGGAAGCATATAATGACATGGCATGCTGATACTAAAAGAAATGGAGATCTCTGTTGAAAGATTGGGGATTAGCTAAAGCCATATTAGTAAATTACATTTGTAATTTGGAACATATAACATTACATTTTTATTTACAATTTGAAATTGTGTGATACTACTATTAGAATTAAATAGTGTTATTGACTTTATTAGTTTATTAATTTATTTTTCATCGATTTTGATGAATTTCTATATTAATCGAAGTTTTTTTGTATTTGTTTTAATATGAGGTGACAAGTCCATGAAAACATGTCACTTTTATATGATATTTCTTGTGAAGTTTTCACCTGATGTTAACGCCTTGTCCTAGGGCGACTAATGACCTGATTTGTTTATGACATTAACATGAATGTCAGTGTCTAAGTTTTTGATGGGAGCAGCAGTGCCAAAACAAGAAGAAATAAGAATATGGTGTTTGACCTTGTAGATATTAGTGAAAATTTTACTTATTGGAGGGAGGGACCATGGGACCATCAAAACTTCTTAAGTTTATTTTCTTGTAGATATTAGTGAAAATTTTACTTATTGAAGGCACCGCATTTATACTTGATTGTTCATTATTGTTGGGAATGCAAGTTTATTTTGCATGTTTCTGGTTACATTTTTTCTAGTGAAAAAATCTAAACCTTTCTTTTTGTTTGTGTCAAACAAACTTTTCATTTATATAGTTTTGTACATGTACTCTTTTTGCTTCTCGTCTCTCTCAGTTTCATATGTGTACTTGTTCATGCTTTTTCACTGGTGTTCCTCCTTAATTGATTACTCATTTGCACCAATACTAATTTTGGAAGTCATCCAATGAATCAAAAAATAAATGAATGATAGTAGACCTTCAATAAACTCTATATGGTTATTTTCTTGCAAGGTTTCAGAAATTCATTCTCTGACAGGAAAAGGTTTACCGGTTAGGTTGACAAAAGCTTGTAATTCACTTGAAAGGCTAATTATGTAATTATCATTTAGACTTGAGGCAGAAGACGGGCATTTTACTCTCTCTCCCTTCCTAGTTTAACAGTGTTGTTTAAATCTTTCTTCAGGGAAAGGGGTCAAGTGACAAGCGAGGGTGGAGTTTTCGGAAAAGATCTTCCAGGCATCGAGTGCTAAGCAACACTGTGATCTCCGAAACACCTTCTTCTGGGAATAAGGAGAGCCCAGAATCTGCTACTTTCAACTTTCAAACACAAGCTAACTCTATTGTTACAGATAAAACCTCTGCTACACCATGGACAGATGAGAAACTCCACTTGTCAAATCCAGTGAACTCAAAAGTATCCGAGACTGTAATTTCTACAGAGGAGGACACTAAAGTTGATGTCAATCTGGACGAATCTGTCATTGTTGTCATCCAGGTTGCAGTCAGAGGATTCTTGGTATTTCCCTTTCCCCATTTTATGATATTTTGGATTCTCAATAAGAGGGGAAATTTAGTTTTTCCTCTTATCAATGTAGGCTCAAAGAGCACTGCTGAAGCTTAAGAACTTAATTAAATTGCAAGCTGCTGTACGTGGGCATTTGGTTCGGAGGCATGCTGTGGGAACTCTACGTTGTGCTCAAGCCATTGTCAAGATGCAAGCTCTTGTTCGTGCACGTCATGCTCGCCTCTTCGTAGAAGGGTCTTGTACTGAAGAGAAGCTAGATAGGAAACATGGGAATGATAACGTCAGTTCAAAGTTCTTGGTAATGCTATGCAACTCATATTCTCTAATTTCCTGCTATTTAGCTCAGTTAAATAATCTTGTTTTTTAACTTAACCTGTTCATATGGTTTGACAATCATTGACATGCTAGCTGTCACAACTTCAGACAATAGTCCGTGTCAAAATATGCTCACTCTTTGTCATTGTAATAACATGAAGAATGTCTCATATTCAGAGCAATAATCAATGAGGAAAGGATTTGTAAAACTCAGAAGGCAACAGCTGTGGTATTGAAAATTTCTAACATATGGAGTATGGACCTTGTGCATCATGCCTCATCTAAAAATTAACAAATCTGCTGAAGGTTACGGACTGGTAAAAATATGTGCATTCCCGTGCAAACATATTGGTGCTATTGTATACAGAATCTTGTTCAATAGATATATTGAGAGCAATGTATTGTTTTAATTTAATCTCTTTCAGTTCATCCTAATTGAGAAAGGAATTAATGTTTGTTTTACTTAGTTCATTGCGTTTTCCTTCCGAATGATAGCCGCTAACTCCAGTATTATAAGCTCCATTTTTTATGTCTGATTCTCTATCACTGTTCTCCATCAACTAAAGTAATCTTTAAAAATTGAACATAATCTTGAAAGGGATCTGAAAAGCTCAATATATGAAGCATATAAATGAAGGCTAGTTTAAAAATTGTCTAAAAGAGCTTGAGGCAGTCTTTGAGATGAGATTCTAGAAAATATTATTGTCAATTAGGCTAACTATTGGATGCCAATTTTTTTCCAGTTTATTCTTCTATCTGCTTACAGAGTGGGGTTTTATGTTAGTTTTGATTTTATGAAATTTGTTTTACATTCTTTGATGAATAGGTCAATTTTTTTATTTTTGTTATTATTATTAAAATTTTACATTCTTTGATGAATAATATTTGCACTTGTTGAGACAAATTGCTGTTGCTCCGGTCATGGATTATTATATCTGATCATCCCATCTTGTTTCAGGAAAAAGAAAATTCAGTTACCAAACCAACTCTAAAGCACACTTCCATTGAGAATCTTCTTAAAAATGGTTTTGCTCGTCAGGTAAAGGAATTGATATGTTTCTATTTGTTGATCTGCAACAACATTGCAGGTTATTGATCTAAAGTTGCATTATTTATAAACTGAAACTAATGTATATATATGTGTGTGTTCAATACTAGCTACTCGAATCAACACCGAGGACCAAACCCATGCACATCAAGTGTGATCCTTCAAGATCCGATTCGACTTGGAAATGGTTGGAAAGGTGGATGTCTGTTTCATCAACAGGAGTCGTACAATCACATGAACCAGAATTAAGTAAGGATCAACAGGAACAGGGGAAGGTTGAGCAGATTGTCCAGGAACCAGACTTAAGCAAGGATCAACAGGAACAGGGGAAGGTTGAGCAGATTGTCCAGGAACCAGACTTAAGCAAGGATCAACAGGAACAGGGGAAGGTTGAGCAGATTGTCCAGGAACCAGAATTAAGCAAGGATCAACAGGAGCAGGAGAAGGTTGAGCAGATTGTCCAGGAACCAGAATTAAACAAGGATCAACAGGAACAGGAGAAGGTTGAGCAGATTGTCCAGGAACCAGAATTAAGCAAGGATCAACAGGAACAGGAGAAGGTTGAGCATTCAACTTGCAAAGTGGAAACTGGAATTCCATCTGAAAGCTATAGCGAGTCAACTGATACGAAGACCAAGGTTGGGGAGACTGTGTTGCCATCTGAAAGTGCTAATAATTTAATCACTTCTGATGCAGACAACTTCAACATTCAGGCACATCGATCAAACTCGTCTTCAATAAATGATAACCTGGAGGAGCCTCAGCCTGAGAACACATACACATCAAATTTGAAAGAGATCACATTGGATTTGCTTCCTAATCAAACTACACAATCAGATTTGGTTTCTCAGACGGAAATCAACGCTATTTCTAGTAAGCCTGAAATGGAGAGTGGATCACCCAAACATTCTATTACAAGGTTTGCTCCTGAACAGGAGACTGAGGGGAAGAAGTTTGCGATTGGATCAAGAAAGGCAAGTAATCCTGCATTTATTGCTGCACAGTCAAAATTTGAAGAGCTCAGTTCAACAGTCAGTTCAGCGAGATCAATCAGTTCATCCAATCAAGATGTTGGAGGTGAATCAAGCACAACTGCAGCGTCGTCTACCGATAATGCCATCAGGACCAGTGAGATTGACCTGGCAGAAAAAACAGTTCTGCATAATTCCAGTATTCAAGTTGGTGGCTCTGAGTGTGGCACTGAACTTTCTATTTCATCCACTCTTGATTCACCAGATAGGTGTGAAGTTGGAACCATAGAATTTGAGCAGGAAGCCAAAGTTTCCGAGGAAGTGACTTGCAATATTATGAGCTCTAAGAACCAAGATGTTGAAGCTGAGGTTGAGTCCACCATCCCAGGGTCTGATGTATCCTACTCCATCATGGTTCATCCAGAGAAACTGGACAATGTTAATGTTGCCGAAGGTGAACCTGTAAATTCTGTCATAGCTGCAGATTCCTCACAGGTAAGGCAAGAGTCAGAAAAAAATGCATCTGTTATGCAGATAGAGCTGGATCCGGAGTCAGGTCACCAAGCATACAAGTCGTCGCCTGAAGGATCTCCAAGAAGCCACATGACTGTCCCTGAAACCCAAGAAACACCTTCTAGTCAGATATCAGTGAATGCTAAGAGGAGTAGAAGTGATAAAAAGGGGTCCAACTCTAAACGTAGGTCCTTGTCAGGTGGTAAAAGATCCGCACCAAATACTAACAACGATTCTGGTGCAAGGAGTAGTTTGGAACAATTACCTAAAGATCATAAAACTGGTAAACGGCGCAATTCTTTTGGTTCAGCTAGACCTGATCATGTTGATCAGGAACCAAGAGATAGTACTGGTGGTAATTCTCTCCCTAGTTACATGCAAGCAACGGAATCTGCAAGAGCTAAAGCTCTTGCTAATAGCTCCCCAAGATCAAGTCCGGATGTGCAAGAGAAGGACGTCTACGTCAAGAAGAGACACTCTCTGCCTGGTGCAAACGGAAGACAAGGATCTCCTCGTATCCAGCGGTCTTTGTCCCAGGCAAATCATGGTGTCAAGGGAAATGGTACTCATCCTCATGGTGTGTTCTGAATCTCTTATTGCTCTTTTCATTTTGTGAGTCTTGCTTTTTTTTCTTGCATAATTCTATTTACTTAACCAATATGTCTCATACTTGGAGAGTTTCCCGCAATGCTTAATCTGTCTAGGATCTGCCTTTACTTGAGAAAATGCAATACTGGTTGTACAACTAAGAAATTAAGCCTCCAATAATCTTGAACCAGATGCTCTTCCATTTCCAAGTATTAGTGTAGCAGGAATGAGGAGCAAATGCAGATCTTCATCTGCTATCCAGTCAATCACAACCATTACCTTTTGTTCATGTGAAACCTTAGACAAGTAAGTCATACTTGAAACAATGGTGGAATCCCCATAACTCACAATCTGTAGATGGTGACCCCAGACCGGTAAGGCCTACTTAAAATATGGTGGAACCCAGCTACTTCATCTGCAGTGATTTCTGTTTTTCTTTTTCCTTTTGCTGGGACCATTGCACCAATTTTTTTGCATAGCAGCAGTACGATTTTACTGCTGGCTATTCTCTTCTATGGCACCACTCTTATAGTGCATATTTTTTATTCTTCAAATAGGTCATTTATTGGTCCCATTAGAGCCCTATTTTAGAGAATTCTACTGTCATCAAATATAAAGGGGAATTACTCTTATGCCATGTTTGGTTGCATGAATTGGTGCATTGGAATTAGAATTGAAGAAAATTTAGTTTGAAGTTTGTGTTTTTTTTTTTTTAATTCCAATTCCATGAAGTCGGCACAACGTTAGTAAAATTTATAATAGTTGATCGTTTCACCCTACTTCTTTACTTCAAATAATGCGAACAATTGGGAAATTATTTTCATTACTAAATAAAATAAAGTTAAACAAATAAAATGATAAATTTATCTATACTTATATACATGTGTACGTTCGTGTGTTACCGTAGCCTTGCATCTTATTTTTGAGCCTTTCCTGTGCCTGTCAATTATTGACATGGACATTTGTGTCTGCAAATCATACCTGAACTTCTAGAGGAGGTATTTTCTTTGTATGTTAGTTGCTATGACTACTATTTTGAAATCCATCAAAATTTATATGCAGTGGCATAAAAAAATCTTTCTTGTTAGTTCATTTTGACCCATCATCATGCTTGCACTTTTCTTATAGTTTGTATTGACGCGCAATAATTCACGGGAAACACATGTACAAAGCAGGTACTCACGTCGTATCCGCTACAAGTCTAGAACTCATATATTAACCGTCTCCCAAATGTGTTCGTAGCGAATAACAATCCTAAAAATATTTTTTCATATATTTCTTACTTACTGCTTTTCCTGTTATTTTCTATTAACCAGAGAGAAAGTGGCAAAGGTGAAGAAGCTCTACGACATGGAGAGGCCGCAACAGCATTTAACAAGTCCAGATGGACTTTTATGTTAAATTGGAGACAATCTATTTGACTGGCAGCTACCTAGTTTTGATCACAGCCTTTTTTCCTCTTGGATAGCAGATAAAAAGTCAGCCATGCATTGGATTGGGGTTTGTCAGTGGAGGACATGTGTAGAAAATGGAGTGAGGTTTTATGTAAATTACCATCCATGTTATTTTAATTTTTTTTTTTTTTTTTTTCAATTTTTCTTTTGAAGGTTTCTGGTTCAGAGATTTGCTTGTATGTTTGTCCAACCGTGTCATGTGTGCAAGTTTACTTGACTTTATTTTATGATATTTTTTATTGATTGTTCTTAGTTTTAAAACATCATTATTGGTTAAGATGGGTTTTTCCTGCTATTATGATGAACTCATTGATGACTTGTTTGGAACATTTGTTCGTTCGGGAGGTTGAAAAGCCGTAGATTGGCCCTGCTTGGATATTGTGAAGCCTGTCCGTCCATTTGCTAAATGGATAATTACAATTACCTCTTCAATAGATTGCCGTAATTTTAATAGGAAGGTATTAAATTATTATTATTCGTGATACTTTTTTATTGTCTTTTAATGTAAAATACTTGTTTCCTAATGGAAAATTTTGTACTTATAAGCTTTCTAATGGCATTATCGAGTTTTAAGTAAATAGTGAATAGCATCAACATACAATGGTGTAGGATTTTATATGACGGCTATTCCAAGAAGTTATTTACCCTTTTGTTTTCGTAGGTCCTAACGAATCAATCTCAAACATCCTCATTTGTTCAGCTCGCTTCAATGCGTTTTTGAGCTTGCAAAAACACACATATATCAAATACGTTAAAAATAATAATAATCTTATATTTCAAATTTTTATAAGATATAATAGGTGTTTTAACTATTTCAATATTTTATAAGTCCAAGCCCAACAACCTAACCCACCCCAATTTATTTATTTTAATTATTTTGAAAATAAGAGTAACCCAAGCCCATTCCTTAGTAAAATGAACCAAGACCAAGAGAATTTAAAACAGCCCAAAAGTAAACCCATTTTCTGAAAGCCCAATTATATATACTTTTTAACTCCTCACATTACCTTACAAACCCTAGCATCAGATGTCTTTTAACCTGATTTCGGGTTGGATTAAACCAGCCCGAATTCTATCCAAAATGGGTTATGTCCATAATCCAACCCGAATATTTTGGACACGGGTCTTTTTTCTTTTCTTTTTTTTTTTCTTTTTTTTTTTTAAATATGCAAATTACATTTTTCTTTTCCATGTTTGTAAACATCAAAAAAATTAAGAAAATTTTATTTTTTAAACATCAATATTTTGGGCGGGTCGGTTGGGTTTCATGGGTCTTTCTTTTTCTTTTTTTTTTCTTTTTTTCTTTTTTTTTCTTTTCACACAAATTTGCAAATTACATTTTCCTTTTTCATGTTTGTAAACATCAAAATTTTAAAGAAAATTTTATTTTTTAAACATCAATATTTTGGGAGGGTCGGTCGGTTTCACGGTTTTTTTTTTTTTTTTTTTTTTTTTTTTTTTTTACAAATATGCAAATTACATTTTCCTTTTCCATGATTGTAAACATAAAAAATTTTAGAAAATTTTATTTTTTAAATATCAATATTTTGGACGGATAGGGCGGGTTTCATGGGTCATTTTTTTTTTACAAAAATGAAAATTACATTTTCCTTTTCCATTTTTGTAAACATCAAAAAATTAAAATTTTTAAACATTAATATTTTGGGCGGGTTGGTCGGGTTTCACTATTTTTTTTTTACAAATATGCAAATTACATTTTCCTTTTCCATGTTTGTAAATATCAAAAAATTTATTTTTAAAACATCAATATTTTGGGCAGGTCGGACGGGTTTCACGGGTCAATTTTTTTTTTTTTTTAATGTAAATTACATTTTCCTTTTTCATGTTTTTAAACATCAAAATTTTTAAGAAAATTTTATTTTTAAAATAAATTTTTTTTAACCGTAAAAGTTTAATTACTCAAAATTTTATAAGTAAAAGTATAATTACTAAAAAATTTATGGTGAAAAGTAGAATTATTCAAAATTTTGTAGTTAAAAGTATAATTACTCAAAATTTTATGGGTAAAAAGTATAATTATTGTTAATAATTTTTCATAATTCTAATAAAATTAAAATTTTATTAGTTTAGGATTTAGGGTTTTGGAATTTAGGGTTTAGGGTTTAAGGTTTTAGGGTTTTGGGCTTAGGGTTTTAAGGTTTTTGATTTAGGGTTTTTGGTTTAGGATTTTAAGGTTTAGAGTTTTAGGGTTTTGGGTATAAGGTTTAGGGTTTTAGGGTTTAGTGTTTTAAAGTTTTGGGTTTAAGGCCTGTTTGGGAGGTGTTTTGTTTTGTTTTAGGCTTGCTACAGTAACCTCTTTTAAGCCCAAAACATGTTTGGTTGGGCTTGTTATGTTTCAAACAGTTGTAAAACATTGTCAAAATTGGGCCCAAAATATGAAACACCACATTGGTGTTTTTTGTTGTTTTGGTTTTATTTTGGGTAAGAATTATTGTAGCGGAAGAAGCAAAAACGAGCATTTAACTGTAGCGGATGCAACAATTGTTTCACGTATAAAACCAAAAAGTTGCAACAATCTAGGGTTTGCTTTGCTCGTTCGGTCTGGCGATTCTGGGCGATTCTCGGTGACGGCTGGGCAACAACTGAGAAGGATGGTTCCACTGCTGTTTTCGGCCGATCTCTTCGACGATCTCTAACCAGGTGCATGCCTCTCTCTCTTGTTTTATCTTTTCCTCCATTTTATTTTCCTCTGTGAAACAGTTCTTGCCCCTCTTGTGTTATTTCGGCTTCCACCAATTGATCCTTTTCATTAAAACCTCATTCAACCCACATGGTTGATTCTCAATTTCTAAGGCTAATTTGCCTACTTGTATTGCATCCAGTCTATTTTGTGAAGGTTCTCTGGTTAACAGAAAGAATATTTTTTTCTATACAATTTGGCATATAGTTTATTGGGTGCCTCAATATGTTTTCAGTAATTGGGTTTCCTAAATTTCAAGGGTTCGTGCCCTAATTCACATTTGCTACATATTTATATCTGTGAATGTATGTCTGTTTTGTTCTGACATAATTACTGGGTTTCATTTTCTTAGCCGAAATCAAGGGTGCCAGTTTTCAATTCTTCATATAAATCACAAAATAAATTTATGACGTGTATCATTGCTCTTTGTTTTAAAATTCTTGACATAACATTTAGAAAACCTGAACCAAACAAGTCATGAATTTTTTTATTTTTTTTTGTTAAATTACCTAAATCTTTTTTCTTAATTTATATAATTACCCCAAAACAATGTTGGTATGAATTACTGGTTGAAAAAAATGTTGGTATGAATGTCACTTTTTTGCTAGGCTATACAATATACATGATTGTGCATATTTTGCCTCTAGCTTTTTTTCAAGTTCAATCTATATGATCATACAGAAAAAGACCCAATTAACAATATCTTTGTTTCTGTCAAAGAAACTGTGGAATTAAACACCTTTTTTGTTCAATGTGGACTTTAGTGACAATGAATGGGAAGAAAAGGGGATGTATGAAGAAAGGTGAAAAGAGGACTGAGTTGGATGCTTTATTATTCTTTAACAAAAAATTTCAATTTAACAAAGATAATTCATGGTTGTTGTCATGGATGGTCTTACTCAAACATCTTATGGCCACATGAGGCTCAATCTAAAAGGGGGGGTCCGATTTTCTTGAAAGAGGGAATTGAATCGGGTAACAGAAAATCACAAAGTCTGCCAAACTCAAATTTTATAAATGTTCATAACTGAATTTCTATTGTTGGGTAAAAAAAAATGGTGAAATTTGATGGGATTTGTAAATTAGTTTAGTTGTAAGTTTGTAGCTTATGTTTAATTGCTGCATTTCAAAATTTAAAATTATAATGCTTGATTGGGGTTACATTTGGAGGATAATTGAAGTTCATATGCGTAGGGATGCTTTTGGGTTATGTTAATTGACTTTGGATGACACCTTTCAAATATTAGTGCTAGATTTATAAGGTTTTAGTAGTAATACCACACTCAGTTTTGACATGTGGTTAGAGTTCTCGGCTCAGATCTCAAAAGTGTTGCAAATCAATGTAGATGTGTCATCAAGGCTTTCCTGGTTTCTATCTGGTATATTTTGAGGGTATAAGTTCATACTCTTTTTAGACAAAAATAAAAAATAAAAATAAGAGAAACATATGAAATATTGAAAACCGTTCACAAGTATGGACTACGTTTCCCACGTATAAATAGACCTTCGAACATGTGTATGTCATGTGGGTGAGTACATTGAACTCATAATGACATACTTTAGGTGACATAGCACACTAAGACTTGATGTTAAGTGTTAACTCCATACACTTTAAACACTGTCTACATTTTATTACATAAAGTCTTATTTTTCTAATAACATCTTCATTTATATCAACTATAAAAACATTTTCTATACAAGGGTGGTGTATGAAAAATTAGGACACACCAGTAAAACTATGGAATCAAAACTACCCATTCTTTTCTTCTAGGAGTGGGTGACAGTGGGTGACATGAATTCTTTTCTTCTAGCTATCAGCGTGTGAGTAGTGAAAGAAAGAGAGAGAGAGCAGTGAACTTTAACTGAGTGCCAAAAAGAGGTGGGTGCACTGCATATATTTTGATGCAATACCCATTCCTTGTATTATATGTACAAAAAATAATAACCCTCAATGTACCACTTAAACTTTAGTAACTCAACTGTGAGAATTCTGTTAGCTTATTCTCTCATTCTTTAGGTCATCTTTTTCTTAACCGTGCCATGCTGAATGTTTAGTTTCTTCAAGTAAGAGTAGGATAATTGTTTTGCATTATTTCTGAAAAAGTGAAATATCTAAACCGATCAAATTGGACATCCAATAAAGTCAACATGGGATATGGATTCATTAAATGAAAATCCGACGAACAGATCGGATCGACCATCATCCACTTCCTATCCAATCCGTTCACAGGTTTAGTGCCAAATAATATAAAGAATTATTTGTTTCAACTTTAATTATTTTATACATTTTGTGTGGCTTCTAAGAAAATAGTAAGAAATCATTCATTAAATTCGGATCTGGGCCTGAGCCATTGGTAGAATCCCTCCAATGGCTTAGGCCCAGATCCGAATTTAGCCGAGGAAAGGTCCTAAAAAATATCAATTTTACTAGAATCTGCTTCTAAAAATGAAAAATTCTGGCTAACTTTAACTAATCAGTTGTCAAAAGGCCAAACTAGCCATCACTCTGAGAAGATAAGAAACCAAGTAAGAACTTAATTTATTATTATCCACTTTTAGTGAGTTAAGCTTCTCCTGAAAAGATCCATTCAACTTCTGTTCCTCTAGGAACAAAAATAGAATATCAGACCAGAAACTCAAGATGAGAATATGTATATGTCCACAACTAGATCATAAAAAATAGGAAATACCTTGTAATTTTAGCTGTACATTAGCCAGTTTGGTACACTCTTTCTCAAGTTCCATCCCCAATTGTTTTACTTTTAACTCATGAGATGCTTGAATTGCTGCTAGAGATCTATTTTTCTCTTCTATTTTTCTCAAGTTCCATCCCCAATTGAATTACTTTTAACTCATGAGATGCTTGAACTTATAGGGCTTTGAGTTATTGAAGTAATAGTATGAGTTATTAAAGTAATATATATTATTTTTGTTGTTATTAATTATAGTGTTGTTATTAATTTGTTAAATGGATATCAATGTTGAGAATGTGGAACAATATGGTGAATATATGACAATTGAAGAAGAAGGGGTGGCTGAAGTTATGAAAGATGGAAAAGTGTTATGGGATGACTCACTTACTGAAAAATTCTGTAATATTATGGAGGAACAAGTTAGGGCTGACAATCGTACTGAGACAACATTTAATCCAAAAGGTTGGACTATTATGGTAAAAGAAATGAAGGTTCAAACAGGGATAAAATTTGACAAAACCCAACTTCGGAATAAGTTTAACCAATTGAGGACAATTTATATCGAGTTTAAGAAATTGTTATCGGAGACTGGCGTGGGATATAACCATGAGACGGGCATAGTTATAGTTGAGGAAGAGAGATGGGGCAGGTTGAGCAAGGTTAGTAATTTAATTATTAGTCCTAAATAAATAATAAAATATCGTATATTATTTGTTATGAGGTTAATATTGTAACAAAATTTAGTAGGTTATTAAGGATACAAATAAGTTTCGTAGACATGGATATAAGCATTTTGACAAGATGTCGACTATATTTGGGGACACATATGCAACAGGAATGCATGCCCACCCCTCTACTACAGCACCTACAGCAATCATTTTGCCCACTCCCAATGATGACGATGATGAGGAAGAGGGTTGTCACGTCAGTCCCCCACCTTTACGTAAAGGTAAGAAAGCCAAAATAGATAGTTTATCTCCCAGTATGGCTGCATTCTTGTCAGGCATGGATGAGAATTCTGCGAGGAGAACTGAGAGAATGGAAGCTGCAATAGAGAAAGCAATTAAAGCATCTTCTAATTCTACTCGTGTATCTTCATGTGAGAAAGAAGATGATGAAGTTCTCTCTCCCTCTAAAAAAGGATAAAGATGATGAAATGTTTAAAGCCTGCATGCTCCTTTTACAAAAAATACCTGGAATTAAGATGGCCCAATTCGCTAAGGTATCAAAGTTGTTACATGATTCTGAGAAGTGGCAGAAATTTTTTCTCAGTTCTCCTGAGGAGATAAGAATTGGTTGGGCACTGAATGTTTGAGTCTTTCTTTATGGATGATTGTGTTTTGTTGTTTATTTAACTTATTACTATCTCACATTTGGATGACTGTAATAACTAAATACTTTTATTTCTTGGATGACTGTACTGCTATTATTTAAATGTTTTTCTTCTTAAGTTAAATGTTTTGCTTATTAACTTAAATATTTTATTTATTACTTAAATGTTAAGCTTATTAACTCAAATGATTTGTTTATTATTTAACTGTTTTGTTTATTATTTAATTGTTTTGCTTATTAACTTAAATGCTTTGCTTCTATTAAATCTTTAAATAGGGCAATGGATATGTGGAACCATATAAGAAGAATAATTCAATTTTATGATGATGAGGATGACAATGAGAGTGTCTTAATATTTGCTACTCTTTTAGAAGAGTAGAACTTCTATCAAAAGAGGCGTTGTAGGGATTCCATTTTACAAGGGGAAACGTATGTTATGGAGATTTTAAACAGCCACAGAGAAAGATGTTATGAAAATTTTAGGATGTACCCTGAAGTTTTTAGAACATTGTGTAGTACCCTGAAAGGTATAGGGCTGAAAGATTCTAAATTTTTAACTGTTTTATGAACAAGTGGCAATCTTTTTGCTCATTTTATCTCATAATCAAAGGAATCGTGTTGTAACTGAGAGATTTCAACACTCCACTGAAACCATTTCCAGACACTTCCATGCTGTGTTACATGCAGTATGTCAGTTAAGCACTTATATCATTGCCCCTCCTGATTTTTCTGTGATTCCGAATAAGATTAGAGAGTCTTCTAGGTTTTTCCCTTACTTCAAGAATTGCGTGGGAGCTATAGATGGAACCCACATTCCTGCAACTCTGCCAGCAAGTACACAACTTCCATTTCGTAGTAGAAAGGGTTATACCACACAAAATGTAATAGCTGTATGTGACTTTGACATGAGGTTCACATATGTGCTAGCTGGGTGGGAAGGCTCCGCTAATGATTCGAGAATCCTAAAGGAGTCTATTGAGAATGAGGCAATGAACTTTCCAGCTCCACCGGCAAGTAATATTATCTTACAAATTCACTTAATATATGGTTAGTTTATTATACTGTATATATCTTTATGTATTCTAAACATGGCAGGTAAGTATTATTTGGTAGACTCAGGATATGCCAACAAGCCTGGTTATTTGGCCCCATTTCGAGGTCATACTTACCACTTTTAGGAATACCGTAGGACTAGACAACCTCGTGGTCGGGAGGAAGTGTTCAATCATAGGCATTCATCTTTGAGAAATATAATTGAGCGATGCTTTGGGTTGTTGAAGATGAGATTCGCTATTTTGAGGGCAATGCTTCCTTATAAGTTTTCAACACAAGTATTGATTGTAATGGCTTGTTGCACATTACACAATTTCATCAGAAATCAGCATCCGCCTGATGATTTATTTGATGGTAACGATCCTCTTCAAAGTGATAGTGAAGATGATGAAATTGTTAAGCATGTGCCTTCGGCTCAACTTCGAGAAATGGATCAGTTGTGTAATATTATTGCTGATCGAATTTGGAATTCTCTTTAGCACTTTTGATCCTTCTAAAAGTGATGGTATATTTTTTCTTTTATATGTCATATATTTGTTGCTATTGTAAGCTTGTACTATATATATGTAATATAAATCATTTTTGCAGATATATAATTCAACTTAAATGCTATTATTGCAGATATGAAGTGTGTTGATGCTCTCTTAAAGGCCACATGTACTGTTATGAAGATGATGTGTCGTTGCCATTGTCATCCACTTTATGAACTTCTTATCAATTTTTACTGACAACTATGTATTGTTAATGCTTTGTTCTAAACATTTTATGTACAACTTAAACTTGTTTAATTTGTTGGTTGAATATTTAAAGACTTGTAAATGGTATACACTCTATTTCAATTATGCTTTCAGTTGGGTTTGTTTTTATTTTAATGTTGTGTTAGACTATATAAGTAACAGGATAATAAAATTGAAGCAGGTTATTGCAAAGAACTTGTAAATAGGTTATTGCTAATTTTTTTTACAAATGTTGACTCTCATGTAGTATAGTAAAATGTGACTAGAAATGTTTTTATTTTTAATGTTGTGTTGAACTATACAGGTATAGTGATAATAAAATTGAAGTGGGTTATTGCAAACAACTTGTAAATAGGTTATTGAAAAAATTAATATATATATATGTTTGTGGGTTCAAATTTCTCCATATCTATTAAAAATATGATAACTATTTATAAATATACATAAAATTTATAAAAACAAATTAAAAACAAGGATAACCAAACATGTTTTTTTGTTTCTGTTTTTTTTTTTTTTTTTTTTTTTTTTACAACAGTTGGACTGACCAAACATGTTTTGTTTTTAAAAATTTTGAAACGCATGACTTACCAAACATGTTTTGCATGTTTTTTTTTTCGACATTTTCACAGCAAAACATCGTTTCCAAACGAGCTTCCGAATTTTTTCCAAAACACTCCTACAACAAAAACACTGTTTCCGTTTTAACTAAAAACAAAATGCCAAAAACAAAGTGCATGCCAAACGGGCCCTTAAGGTTTAGGGTTTTTGGGTTTTTGGTTTTAGGAGTTTTAGGGTTTTAAGGTTTAGGTTTTAGCGTTTAGGTTTTAGGGTTTAGAGTTTTATCTATAAATTTTTAATATTTACACTTCTACCAGTAAAATATTTTATAATTCTAATTTTACCTATGAAATTTTTATAATTCTACTCTTACCTATAATTTTTTTTGTAATTATACTTTTATCTATAAAATTTTGAGTAATTATACTTTTACCTATAAAATTTTGAATGGCTAAAATTTTGCCCATAAATTTTTTTATAATTCTACTTTTACCTCTAAATTTTATTGTAATTATACTTTTACCTATAAATTTTTTTATAATTATACTTTTACCAACAAATTTTTTTATAATTCTACTTTTAACAATAAAATTTACAAAATTTATATTTTAAGCAATAAAATTTTGTATAATTATACATTTACTTATAAAATAATGAATTATTCTACTTTTACCTATGAAATTTTTTATAATTTTACTTTTACCTATAATTTTTTTTGTAATTATACTTTTATCTGTAAAATTTTGAGTAATTATACTTTTACCTATAAAATTTTGAATAACTATAATTTTGCCCATAAATTTTTTTATAATTCTTCTTTTACCTCTAAAATTTTTTATAATAATACTTTTACCTATAATTTTTTTAATAATTATACTTTTTACCTGTCAATTTTTTTATAATTCTACTTTTACCTATAAAATTTAAAAAAATTATATTTTTACCTATAAAATTTTGTATAACTCTACATTTACCTATAAAATAATGAATAATTCTATTTTTACCTAAAAAATTTAGTATAACTATACTTTTACTATGAAATAACGAATAATTCAACTTATACCTATAAAATTTGAATAATTATACATTTACCGATATATTTTTTTATAATTATAATTTTGCCTATAAAATTTTGAATAATTATACTTTTACCTATATAATTTTTAATAATTATACTTTTACCTATAAAATTTAAAATAATTATATTGTTACCTATAAAATTTTTATAATTATACTCTTACATATAATTTTTTTATAATTCTACTTTTACCTAAAAAATTTAGAAAAAATTTATTTTCACCTATAAAATTTTGATTAATTATACATTTACCGATAAAATTTTGAAAAAATTTATTTTTAAATTTTGAATAATTAGACATTTACCTATAAAATTTAGAGTAATTATACTTTTACCAACAAAATATAGGATAATTTTACTTTTAGAAAGAAAATTTTGAATAATTATACTTTTGCTTATTTAATTTTTGATAATTATAATTTTGCCTATAAAAATTTAGAATAATTATATTGTTACCTATAAATTTTTTATAATTGTACTTTCACCTAAAAATATTTTTGTAATTCTACTCTTTCGTATAAGATTTTTTCTAATTATACTTTTACCTATAAATTTTTTAATAATTATACATTTAAATCTAAAATTTTGACTAACTATATTTTAACATATAAAATAATGAATAATTCTACTTTTACCTATAAAATTTTTAATAATCAAACTTTTACCTATAAAAATTTGAATAATTATACTTTTACTAGTATAATTTTTTGTAGTTATACTTTCACATGTAAAATTTTGAGTAAATATACTTTTTACCTATAAAATTTTGAGTAATTATACTTTTAAATTAAAATTTTGAATAGTTTCACTTTTACCTATAAAATTTTAAATAATTGTACTTTTTACCTGTAAAATTTTAAATAATTGTACTTTTTACCTGTAAAATTTTGAATAATTATACTTTTACCTGTAAAATTTTGAATAATTATACTTTTACCTATATAATTTTTATATTTATAATTTTACCAATAAAAAGTTAGAATAACTATTGTTAAGTATTAAATTTTTATAATTATACTTTTTCCTATAATTTTTTTTTAAATCCACTTTTACCTATAAGATTTTGAATAATTATACTTTTTACCTATAAAATTTTGTTTAATTATACATTTACTTATAAAATAATGAATAATTTTACTTTCACCAATTAAATTTTTTATAATTCTACTTTTGCCTATAAATTTTTTTGTAATTATGCTTTCATCTATAAAATTTTGTGCAATTGTACATTTACCTATAAATTTTGAATAACTATAATTTTACACATAAAATTTTAATAATTCTACTTTTACCTCTAAATTTTTTTTATAATTATACTTTTACCTATCAATTTCTTTATAATTCTACTTTTACATATAAAATTTAGAAAATTTACATTTTCACCGATAAAATTTTGTAGAATTATACATTCACCAATAAAATAATGAATAATTATAATTTTTTTCTCTTAAAATTTAGTATAACTACACTTTTACCTATAAAAGAATGAATGATTCTACTTTTAGCTATAAAATTTGAATAATTAAACTTTTTACTTATAAAATTTTGAATAATTAAACTTTTTACTTATAAATTTTTGAATAATTATACTTTTTACCTATATAATTTTTATTAATTATAATTTTACCTTTTCAATTTAAAATAATTATTTTGTTACATATAAATTTTTTTAAAATTATACTTTTACCGATAAATTTTTTTTGTAATTATACTTTTACCTATAAAATTTAGAAAAATAATTTTTTTACCTATAAAATTTTGAATAATTATACATTTACATATAAAATTTAGGGTAATTATACTTTTACCTATAAAATATTTAATAATTTTACTTTTACCTATAAAATTTTGAAGAATTGTACTTTTGCATATAAAATTCTGAATAATTATAATTTTACATATATAATTTTTGATAATTATACTTTTACATTTAAAAATTTAGAATAATTATATTGTTGCCTATAAATTTTTTTATTATTATACTTTTACCTATAAATTTTTTTATAATTCTACTTTTACCTATATTATTAATGAATAATTATACTTTTACCTATAAATTTTTTAATAATTATACTTTTACCTATAAAATAATGAATAATTCTACTTTTACCTATAAAATTTTGCATAATTATACTTTTACCAATAAATTTTTTTTTACCTATATAATTTTTTATAGTTATACTTTTACCTATAAAATTTTGAGTAATTATACTCTACCTATAAATTTGGACTAATTATACTTTTACCTATAAATTAAGTAATTACACTTTTACATTAAAATTTTGAGTAATTTTGCTTTTGCCTATAAAATTTTGAATAATTATATTTTTTACCTATAAAATTTGAATAACTATACTTTTACCTATAAAAATTGAGAATAATTATGGGCGCGGGTTCTTCAATGCACTTGCTGACTTAGAAAGAATCAAGAGATCCCTCAGAGTTGCCCTCCTCGCCTTCAAATCTAAATGGATTTTAGGCTGGTCGCTTACCCGCTTTTACATATAAATCTTGACTAATTATACTTTTACTTATAAAATTCTGAGTAATTATATTTTTACCTATAAAATTGAGTAATTATACTTTTACATTAAAAATTTGAGTAATTTTGCTTTTACCTATAAAATTTTGAATAATTATACTTTTTAGCTATAAAATTTGAATAATTATACTTTTACCTATACAATTTTTTATAATTATACTTTTACCTATAAAAATTTGGAATAATTATATTGTTACTTATAAATTTATTTAAAATTATACTTTTACCTATAATTTTTTTTAAACATCTACTTTTACCTATAAGATTTTGAATAATTATTCTTTTACCTATAAAATTTTGAATAATTATACATTTACCTATAAAAATTTGACTAATTATACTTTTACCTATAAAATAATGAATAATTCTACTTTTACCTATAATATTTTGAATAATTATACTTTTACTTATAAAATTTTGAATAATTATACTTTTACCTATACAATTTTTATAATTTTCCTTTTACCTATAAAATTTTGAGTAATTACACTCTTACCTATAAAATTTATAGTAATTTTACTTTGATATATAAATTTTTTAATAATGATACCTTTTACCTATAATTTTACTTTTACCTATATAATTTTTTATATTTATACTTTTACCTATAAAAATTTAGAATAATTATATTGTTACTTATAAATTTTTTATAATTATACTTTTACCTATAAATTTTTTTATAATTCTACTTTTACCCTTAAGATTTTGAATAATTATACTTTTACCTGTAAAATTTTGAATAATTATACTTTTACTTGAAAATAATGAGTAATTTTACTTTTGCCTATAAAATTTTGAATAATTGTACTTTTACCTATATAATTTTTTATAATTATACTTTTACATATAAAATTTTAAGTAATTATATTATTTACCTATAAAATTTTGAGTAATTATACATTTACCTATAAAATTTTGATTAATTAT